TAAGATTATTCAGATGGGAGTTTGAGTGAAAAAGTCTGTCAGCGAGCGTGGAACCTGGAGGACGTGACTCTGAGGAACGTCATCATCTCCACTGCTAACGAGCTCCGGCTTGACCGTTGACGTACAGTAGCTCGTCGCGCGGTTTGACATCATTACCCTCGCTAGTTCCCAGCCCCACAGATCAAACGCAGCTGCCTGCTCTGTATTCAGGCTGCAGCTCGCCTGCTACCTGCCTGTCAGGAGTCCTGCTGGGAAGCCAGCCGGCGTATTGTCATTCAGAGCGCCGGCAGACCCACGCAGTGAATCCATTAAGGCTCCGGGAGCTGCATTACTGTGATTAAAGCCGGAGAGGGGACAGGCGTGCGCGTCGCTGATAGGCGCTCTACTTGACTTCAGCCGACTTCGTCTTTCAGGAGTGCGTTGAGTGTTCTCGAGAGGCGGCGGCGCGTCAGCAGCCACAATAGCAGTGATGAAATGGAGGAAGGTGAACGGAGCGGGTCACCGTGCTGCGAAGGCGATGGTGAATCAGGAGCAGGAGGAAGTGAGGAGATGAAGGGGCGCATAGTAAAACATCACAGACGTAATCAGGTCTGACAGGCTGAGCTCCTGTAGGCCACGCCCTGTAAGTGCCTGCAAGCCACTTTGCAGCCCACCTCCACCCCAGCTGCGCTCATGATGTCACTGTTTGATGGCTGTGACTGAGTTATCACCTGCGTGTGTGCATGAAGCTGATATTAACATGTATGAGCCGTGTGTGAGTCTCCAGTGTGAACTTCCTCGTTCACACGTCAGCCTCGGCGTGTCCTGTTTGTCGAGTGAAGTTTGACATCAGCAGCATGTGAAACGTCTGTTTTTCTGAGCTGCATCCATGTTTGTGATGTTTGTGCACGCAGCAGTGCGAGCGTGATGCTGTGTGCACGCCGGCTGCGCTCAGGTGTTTGTGCACTTCAGCTCCGCCCCTCATTTGCCTCCTAAATCGGTGAAACGGCAGCAGGAAGCGAGCATAAAGCCGCAGCCTGCAGTCATGTACACACCGGGTTATAGAACAAAGACTTCCCCGTGATCGATACCCGTGTGCAGGCGACGAGCGCCGACTGACTGAAATGATTGCAGACGTAGCAGATGCGAAGCAGCGGGGACGCTGCGGCGTGCTTGCAGGGATTCGTCTCCTGACTCGAGCTAATCGTATCGTGATTACCTCTCCTTTCAGTTTCAGGGTTTATTGATGCCTGCGGGGATCGCGCCGCAGCTCGATAAACATGCAGGGTGACTCTGTCCGTGCTCGCCGCCGCGCCCGTTTTTCACACTCGGTGTGGAGCTCTGATTGTAAGAGAGCTGCTGCTGCTGCCCTGGTGGCCTGATAGCAGGCACCTCCTTCATAATGGCGTCTGAACCATTAACTTCCTGGTGTCGGGCAGCCGGGCGTGAAGGACTCAGACAACAATGAATGAGTGATGTTTGAGCACACGTTCATCCACAGCGCCACGCTAGAGTGGCTGTCGTTACTGTAATGACATCGTTTTGCAGGGAATGGTTCCCATAACAACGTTTTCTCTGCAAATTGGTTCTTTAATGTCGTGCGACGCGGCCCCGTGGACTCGCCGTGGACTCGCTGCACTGAGATTGGCCTCATGCAGCAGTGCGCTATTTTTATTAGAGGAGCGCCGGTGTTCTGGGAATCCATCCTACCTGACAAACCATCCTACCCGTTGTTTCTGCGCATGCGCACAACACGAAATTAAGTGCCAAACCATCCGTCCGATCCAGGAAATGAAGTTTGTGCTGTTAGCGTGGGTCCGACAGACCGGGCTCTGGTCGGCGTTCACACACCTGTCAGGCCGACAGGCGTCACGGATGATGATGTAAAACCACGAGAACGATCATCAAACCTCTCAGCTGCTGGTTTGTGATGTCACTTTGTCCTGCTGACAGGACACGCGTGAACTCGTCCTCACCGAGAAGCGAGCGCCGCGATCGGCCGCAGACCCAAGCGGTCTGAGGGGGTTTGTGCTGCTGCGGGGAGGAGATGGCGTCCGGCGTTCTTCCATCTTTTTAATGACATGAAAGTGAGCGCTGACATTTAAAGGACGCTCGCAGCTCTGACCTGTTCAGCGTCTTATGTGACATTTGTTTGAAGGTTTTCTCAGAATCGCTTCTCTGATCCTCCAACTGCATCAGGGGCTCCCACAAAGACTGTA